TGTCTGTCTACACGTTGGGTGAGTGCCGATTATTTGGTTGTGCATATGGGGTGGGAATGCACGTTTGTGTCCGCGTGCGCCTGTTCGTCTGTGTCTATATGTTCGTCTGTGTCTGAGATGTACCTCTCTGGGTACATCTCAGGCCCTCCAAAGTACGGAGGCCTTTCTCCCCTCACCACACTCCCTGCCGGTGGCTGATACCCTCAGACGTTGGTGTGTTGGTGGTCCTTTTCGACTGGGGCTGGGCGCTCATGTATGTACCGGCTCATTCCTTTTTCTCCATACAGGTGATCCAGGTGTTTTGTTTGTTTTTCTTTCTTTCTTCCCCACTTTCTCACTGTCTCTTCTCCCCTCTGTTTTTCTTTCTCTCCCTCTCTTTCTTTCATTCTTTCTCCCTGTCCTATCTCCCAGTCATGTCTGTCCCATTTGTATAATAAAGGTCAATCAAATGGACCAATATGGCAAGGCCATGATGATCCACTTGGTAAAATAAATCCGCTTGGCATCTTTCTTGGCCTTAAGACAACAATTCTGATGGCTAAAGATCCAAACGGGACACAAAAAAAACCAAAAAAAAAAAAAGTAAATCATATTAGAAATTTTTTCTCAATGTAATAATACAAATAGATTGAGTCTCTCATCATCTACAGTTATGTTTATCATCAATAGATTTTAAGAATCTGGAGAAATCTCTGTGCTCAAGACAAAGGCCAAAAAGACAAACAAAAAAAAACTGCATAGACATGATCTTTGGGCTGTCAGGCAGTGCTACATTGAAAACATTCTGTTCACTGTATTGGAGGTTTACTTACAAGGAAAATAGTGTCAGCATAGTTCACTAGGTGATCCACAATTGCTGGTTAAAACTCATGCAAAAAAAATCTATATGTGTACATAATCCAGAAAGGTGAATAATTTGGCTCAATAGTTCAATTGAGGCCAAATTGAAAACTGTTCTGTGGTCAGACATACAGTGGGGCAAAAAAGTATTTAGTCAGCCACCGATTGTGCAAGTTCCCCCACTTAAAATGATGACAGAGGTCAGTAATTTGCACCAGAGGTACACTTCAACTGTGAGAGACAGAATGTGAAAAAAAAATCCATGAATTCACATGGTAGGATTTGTAAAGAATTTATTCGTAAATCAGGGTGGAATCAGTAACACACTACAACGGCAGGGAATCAAATCCCGCAGTGCCAGACGTGTTCCGCTGCTGAAGCCAGTGCATGTCCAGGCCCGTCTGAAGTTTGCCAGAGAGCACATGGATGATACAGCAGAGGATTGGGAGAATGTCATGTGGTCAGATGAAACCAAAGTAGAACTTTTTGGTATAAACTCAACTCGTCGTGTTTGGAGGAAGAAGAATACTGAGTTGCATCCCAAGAACACCATACCTACTGTGAAGCATGGGGGTGGAAACATCATGCTATGGGGCTGTTTTTCTGCCAAGGGGACAGGACGACTGATCCGTGTTAAGGACAGAATGAATGGGGCCAAGTATTGTGAGATTTTGAGCCAAAACCTCCTTCCATCAGTGAGAACTTTGAAGATGAAACGAGGCTGGGTCTTCCAACATGACAATGATCCAAAACACACCGCCCGGGCAACAAGGGAGTGGCTCCGTAAGAAGCATTTGAAAGTCCTGGAGTGGCCTAGCCAGTATCCAGACCTCAACCCCATAGAAAATCTGTGGCGGGAGTTGAAAGTCCGTGTTGCTCGGCGACAGCCCCAAAACATCACTGCTCTTGAGAAGATCTGCATGGAGGAATGGGCCAAAATACCAGCTACTGTGTGTGCAAACCTGGTAAAGACCTATAGTAAACGTTTGACCTCTGTTATTGCCAACAAAGTATTGAGTTGTATTTTTGTTATTGACCAAATATTTATTTTCCACCCTGATTTACGAATAAATTCTTTACAAATCCTACCATGTGAATTCATGGATTTTTTTTTCACATTCTGTCTCTCACAGTTGAAGTGTACCTCTGGTGCAAATTACTGACCTCTGTCATCATTTTAAGTGGGGGAACTTGCACAATCGGTGGCTGACTAAATACTTTTTTGCCCCACTGTATGTTAGTCTCATAACCTAGTTTTTGTCAGATTTGTGTGATTTCATGTTATCTTTAACAAAAACACGTGATGTAATCCTTCAGCGTTGTCGGGGTTTTGGCTACATGGTGTGAAGCTGATTAATTAGTACAGATTATAAGAACATTGCTAAACAAGCAATCAATAAGTGCTGGAAAAACATCCAGCAAAGGGTTTGTGTAGCATTAAAACTTATGACTAACCATCTCAGTCCATGGATTTCACTCGTTTTGAAAATCACAGAATGATTGTGAGCCAAAACCTTTTATACTGGCAAGAATTTTAAAAGAGAGCTGCATAGAGATATGGCCTCATATCTAATGTTGACTTCCTTTGAATGTTTATCCAGACTTTTCTGCACTTTTCTGATATATTTACATTACAACTTATGCTCATAACATCACTTTCCTGCAGGTTCGGTTGGCTGAAGACTGCTTCTGTTAGCTGTGATAATTTATCTTGTTCATAGTTTGGGAATTTATTCCATTGGACATTTGTATCATTAACACATGAATCCATCCTGTTTGCTGAAATGTGTATTTTATTGTCTTATCAGAAGATCATTGAAACACCAATCAGAGGCTGCAGAGAGGCCAGACAATGGAGCACAGGTGAGTGATGAGACTTCAGATATTCCAGTGAAAACATCCTAAAACATAATGTTCAGACTTCAGAGTCACCAGTTAGCTCAACCCATCACACAGACTGATTACATCCATTGTATCAATGTTCACCCATATTATTCATCTCGTCCTTCCACATTCATGCTTTTCTGCATTAACTTATTAGCAAAATCAAGACACCTTGAGGTAGTAACAGATATTTAGTTCCATTTGCAAAAAGTCAAAAAGCCCTAAAAAATGTTCATCCATGTGTTTCATAGACGGATGAAATTCAATATGCTGCTGTACAATTTAGTACAAACCGGCCAGACTTTGCTAGCTCCAACTTCAGCTCAGCTCAGCGTGACAGATATCAGGAAGAGAGTGTTATATACTCCACCATGAATGTCAGAAGTGCTAGAAGGTGAGCAGCTCTTCACACAGGATAACTGCACCTCACGTTTATTGTTTTAATACTTTGCATACGATAGTAGTATCATTCTAATGTTTACTTCACAGATCAAAACACCAAGCTGCTGTGGAGGATGCCTCTGCACTGTACAGCACCGTTAACAAACATCCCAGAGTGTGAACACAGCCTGGAGCTGCTGTGTGTTTCATCAGGCTCCTCTGTTTCTGGGGGTAATAAGTGACTTGCCATGAATATAAATCATCAACACAAACCTCCAAAATGACCATAATGTGAACAAACTTCTCATTTTATGTTTGTGTATTTTTATTTCTTCATCATCACAGCTCATAACCGAGTACTTTGCTGGATGTATGATCAATTTTGAAATGTCTCTTTATATTTCCAATGTTAATTTCTGTTGCTTTATCTCACCAGTAGTTTAGGTTAACTGTAGTTTAAATATCTTGTTTAAAGTTCAAAGAGACAGATTAGTGATCTCTGGTGCCACCTTCAGACAAAAATACTTTGTGCTCAACAAAAAAAGTAAAGTTTTGACTGTCTCAGTTTTTCCAGATAATAAAGAAATGGTAATTTGTTTAATTGGTACTTTATTGCCAACCTGTCCTCTATTTATAAAATTTCTGTTTACAGCAATGTTAGCAGAAAATTGCCTTTTTTGTGAACCCATTGTAAAAGCTTTATTTTTTATAGTCAGGAATTTTTTCTATTATTTAATATTTTATATATTATTTAATAACTACTTAGTTGTAGTATGAATAGTAATGAAGTGGTATTTATCAATAGGGAAAAAAAGAAAAAAAAGAGGGCATGTCATGATGTGCGTGAATAGTTGTTGCAGTTCATGTGGAAACCAGAGGGGGAGGTGGTATGCAAATAATAAAAGTTATGGCAGAAACCTGAGAACACGGGGTCACGTCTGCCATATTGTAACATCAGTAAAGAGTGACTTGCACTTTTGGCCCATGTGTAATAAACCAAATGCTGGGGGCGTAGCTGTAGCAAGAAGAAACCATGACATAATTTGTTGGTCTACCCACAGTCTTGGGCGCCTCACGTCCTGCTATCTCATCTTGGATGTAATCGGCCAACCTCTCCATAAAAAATGACCGGGGCGCCGTAGCTGCCCAGGTCAATTTTGTAGCAAGATCACAGAACTCTGAGATAAAGTGGCACATGGACTGATTTCCCTGATGTAAATGAAGTAACTTTGACTCCACCTATACTTCCTGAAAAGGGGGAACAAAGCTTTTCTTTAACTCCCCCACAAACAAGGCTTAATTATTGCAGGCATGAAACCTGCCATTGTAAAGGGCTGTTGTCCACTCCTGGGCACGGCCAGACAAAAGGGAGGTTAACTGTTGGGTTTAAGTCAACCCTGCTGGTAAACAGAAGCTGTTACTGAAAGCAACCACACAGACACTAGTGTACTTTTTACTTGCAAGGGGAGCGTTGGAGAGCAGTGTTGTCACTCGCCTGTCCAAGCAACTCGAACTCTTCTGCGAGGTTACACATAATTCAGTTAACCATGTGACAGTTTTTTTACACCTGTCTGTGTGTGTGTGTTTCCAGCTATACATACATAGACATACGACCTTTCAATGAACTTAAACTGTGTGTATGAGGTATGCAGAAAAGCAGAAGTAAGCGTCAGGAATTTGCAATGGGTCATGTCTCAAATGCACATTTAAAGGTATGAAGTCTTACACTTGAACAGTCTGGTTTCTAAATCTATAATGGAAATTATAACGTCAAGGCTGCTTCTAACCTAAGAAAGTTCAATTACAGAAATCAGTAAATGTATTTTTATTTTTTATAAGTCATATAAAAGTCATATATATAAAGCATTCATATTAAATATTGTACTCTGAATTACCACTATAATTTATCTGCAGACAATGCTGCTTGCCATAGCCATTACTGGGCTCTCCCGGTCGCCAGTGTGTATAGCGGAAATGGCTCCCATCATTCCACAACCAAATATTTTCCTAGAAGACAGAAGTTGATGGCATTATTTCAGGCAGGCCAAAGTCTTGTGAAACAGAAAAAAAATAAAATAAAAGTACCCCAGATGCATCAGTTCCTCCAATTCAAGTAGTTTTGAAGCCATGAGGGCCAGTCAGCTTCTGAATCAGAAGGTACTCGCTGCTGCTGTGCACAGATGCAAGGTGGACCCCCATGGAAAAGCAGTTTCTCTTCACTTGCAAGAGACAGAGAGAGCAAATGTGTTTTAAGATATTTTTCTCAAGTACTGAAGGCAATACAATTAGGAGGAACTTACCTCACCGTGAGCCCAACTCATGGCTCTTGGAATATAGACAAAGCAGTGACGATAGAACCGAGTCCAACCACGAGGACAACTAGAGGACATGTTGACCTGGTAACTACTTCCTGGGGAAAAATAGTTTTATACGTGACTCCAGCTGATATTTATTCTACATTATTTTAGATAATGACAAATGCAATGAAAGAAGAAAACAGGGCACTTTTACTCCTTCACAGTTATAAAGTGTAATTATATGTATGCAAGTGTAATTTTTTTCCTAATTATTAATCATATAATTCTAGTTATTACAGTAATACCTAATCTGTTTATACCCCTATTTTGAATAAAGTTTAGAAAGTCCTTTTACAAACAATCAAAATCATATTAACTTATGGTCGACAGAAAGTTTCCAAAGGGTCCAGCGACAGAACACCTTATAAAGCTTTCTTGTATCACATAGGAAAAGTTACGGTGTTAAAGAGAAACTCTGTTGAAGGAGAATAAAACACATACAAAAATGTATTGCCACCCCTTGATGCCATCATTGTGACTGAAAATATTGTTGCTTTTATATATAAATTGGCAAATGAAAGTTCATCATGTTCAACTAAATCCCTGCTCTACATGGTGTTCTTCACCTTTTGAAGCCATCATCTAAACAAAACCTTGACTTCCTCTGCTGCAATCTTTCACTACAGTCTTTCAGGGTTCAAAACTTCCCTGGATGTCAGCCACGGCATTTACCTGGGCAGGAAGCTGAGATTGTAGTGTAATTTGTACAGCATCACCTGTGATATGGCCAGAGGATATGGAAGCAAACCAAGTGGGCCCTCTGCTGCACATTGGAACAAAATTGTTGCTCTGCTGAGTGGAGGAGGTCTCTGGTCCCACAGTACACTGAAGGTCAAAGGGTTTGATTATCATACCTCAAGTGCATGTCTAACAAAATATCATAATAGCTTTATCTACCAGAAGCATCTTGGCACAGTGGTTTGCACTACTGCCTTATGTCCCTGTGGGATAAAAAACGATCAAGAGCAAATCATAGGTTTTGATATGCTCTTCTTGGCAAACTGTATAGTGAAGAAAATAGATCTCCTTAGGAAATTTTTTTTTCTTCTACATAGCTCTCTCAGTTTTGGCCGGCGGTCATAGGTTCTTTCCAATAATATGACGCAAGACTGAAAAAACATTCGCGCTCACATCCATCCCTATGGCCAATTGAGATTTATCCTAACACGGATGTCTTTGAACTGTGGAAAGAAGCCATGATACCCAGAATGAGCACAGATAAAGGAAGAACATGCCAAAGTCCACACAGAAAAGCCCCAGTCATATGCTGGATTCTTCCTGCTGTGAGGCAACAATGTTCACCACCAACACAATACTGTACTGTGCAGCTATAAACACCATGTAATTCTGTTCTTAAAAATGAATTCAGATCAAAGTATTGATAAAAAATATCTATTTCTTACTAAAAAATTCAACCAATTAAATTATGACTTCCTTTTTTCAACATGACTTGCGTCACTATTAAACCAGTATTTCTCTGATAACCCTCAAGTGAATTACTTAGGAACCAAAATATGCAATTTCCTGTTTTTTTAAGCAGTTTCATCCACTTTAGGGAAATGGTTACTACTTCTCATTATCAGCAACATCAAAAATTGTTGTTTCAAATTACACATTCATTTTTAACATCAGGGGTTTTTAGTTTTGTTCTGTCCCTATCCAATTGGACAGGTATGACCGTACATTGATGTTGCATGGGATGGCCAAAATAAGTATCTGGACTGATGCAATGAAAAAAAAGAGAGAACAAAACATGCAACTCTCGAGAGAAAATATAGATGTCATGTTTTCCCTACGGAGAAAGGACATTTGGGAGATGGAGTCCAATGTCTCTGAAATCCAGTGGGTTGCCCTGCTCTACTTCTTGAAGAACAAGCAAGACAGACTTTTACAAATGTATTGTATTTATTTAGTGATCTGGATTGACCCCAGCATTTTCTATAACAGAAACTGCTTCCCCAGGCCTTCCAGGAGGTCTTTCAAGCGACTAACCCCTTTTATTCTGGGCTTTCTCCACAGGTCCCAGCCATTATAGACACCACAGCCAGCTCACCGGGGGCTGCACAGGCACCAGGGCAGAAGTGCCAAAAACAGCAGGTGCAGGGTCAAGTACCAAGGTCCCTATCACTAAATGTTATCTGTAGATGGACCGTCTTTGATTAACCCTTTGTTTTGCCTTAACACAACAGGTCATAACACGGTAAAAAGTTGCAAATTAATCCTAATTATTAAATCTTAAAACAAGGAGTATGTATAAATACTCCAGTGTAGGTTTTTAGTGTGTGTGTGTGTGTGTGTGTGTGTGTGTGTGTATACATGATTATTTAATTCTTAAGGTGATTTCCTTGTAATGTATTGTCTGTGAATGTTCTCAGTCATCCAGATCATCCCGGACTTCTTTAAGTTGCTTGAAGACGTTTCACCTCTCATCCGAGAAGTTTCTTCAGTTCTAAGGTCAAATGGTGGAGAGTCCCAGATTTAAACCCAGTGGGAGTATCCCCCCAAAGAGGAACAAAGGACCCCCTGATGATCCTCTACTCGCCTGAGCCAAGGTGTGAAAACGGGTGTGGGTCACAATCAGCCAGGGTTTCGGGTGAGCTCATTGTGAAACCTGGCATGTGATTTCCTGAGGTCAGATGGCCCAGGATGTGAGTGGGCGTTAAGGCGTCTGGGAAGGGATCTCAAAACTGGATTATAGATGGCAGACAGTTGGTGTCGTAAACCACCGCCTCTGTTCAAAGATGGTCACTCACAGTGGACGTAAATGGCTTCTTTTACTCCTCTTTCAAACCATCTGTCCTCTCTGTCCAAAATGTGAACATTGGCATCCTCGAAAGAGTGACCTTTGTCCTTTAGATGCAGATGGACTGCTGAGTCTTGTCCCGTGGAGGTGGCTCTTCTATGTTGTGCCATGCGCTTGTGAAGTGGCTGTTTGGTCTCTCCGATGTAGAGGTCTGGGTTACCCTACACTAACCCCCTAACCCTAACCCTAAGGTTAACTAAACTTGAAATATGCCCATTTCTATTAAGACCTAACCATTCTAATATACACAGAGCTAGTGCTTCTATCTGAATACCTCCCCGATCGGAATATGGCTTCGGGGGGGTTTGGTGGCTAACAGCTAACAGCTATTAGCAGCTAGCATCGCATCGAGCATTGACAGTAAAACATCTTTAGCTCAAAGCATTCAACACTTATAACACACTGTAAAGAACAACAAGAGAAGTAAAACAACATACCAGATTCTCGTAGCTCCCGATTGGTTTTTGTTCAAAGGTTTCTGAGCTGAATCGGCTAGTGAAATACATTATCTAACATAACAGGTAGCTAACAAAAGTATATGACTCACCGGGATTTTCCAACACAAATAACTCGACAGACGTTATTCCCTTTGAGTTTGGGGCCTAATAAAAGAGTAACTTATTAGCATTTATATGTAAAATAATCTGGTCTCATTAACGGGGTTGCAGCATTGCATACCAAGATATTTTTTCTCTGCGCTCCGACACGCACTTGACCGCCATCAGAGGGAAGATCTCACAGGAAGAGACAGGTAATGCTTCCTGCGCACTAGACGCAAGGTTGTCAGAACACAAGACTGCATTACAGCACTTGTGACAATAACAGGCTAAAGCCTTAGATAACAAAAAGGGATTTTGCAGCCCTGTATTTCACATGGGTTACACCAGGAAACTCACCGTGTTTGCGGGGATATATACAGTTAACGCGGCGGGGCTTGGGTGTGTCGCATTGCCAAGACAGGGCGCCGGTCTCGCTGGTTGCCAGAGGGAGCGTTGAGTGCTGGGAACCACGGGCCAGACGGCCTAGCTCGGTTAACAACTCGTGTGTTTCCGTGTCTGAGAGGCAAACATTTTTCCGTCCTGCCACGGGAGCGTGTTGTAAACGCTAATCATCCAATTCTGAGATGTCTAAACAGTTTGAAAAATATAAGATGGTTAATGTTATTGTGTACAATAAACTGTTAATCGGGAGAGCAAGAATGAAAAAACTTACCAATATCATCGAGAGAAAGGGGGATAGAACCCAACTGGCTTAATTCAGAGTCTAAAAAAGGTAAAGAAAAACAAAGAGCTTTTAAAAAACTCGTAAGCACGAGTTTTTTAAAAGAAGTTTAACTCTGCTATGGTTTAACACATTTTCGCACACACACAGGCCCATAAACAGATGGCATTTTTCGCCATAAAAAAGTTAACTTATATTTTTGGCTTAAAATGAGAAAAAGGCTCTTGATGATAAATAATTCTATATTTTTCCTGATCATATTTTTCAGTTATTGAAAATTAGCATTAAGCATTCATTAGTTATGAAATATCATAATGTTATTAATAAAATAATGTTATTAAAAGCATATTTTTACAACTACCATAAACATTTATTATATTCTTTATGACATCATATGCCATAAATTATTTTATTGGGGTCATAAATCACTCGGTTTGACAGAAGGGGTATTATATCCCTCCTAGCATTGTTTATATGTCTTTGTCGTTTACTGGCTTTGAGATTAAAATCATAGTATAGAATATAATTGCTTTATTCTCATTATATGACATAATAAAATCATAGTTGTGTCTCCCTTTAAACATCAATATAAAATATCTCATTTGAAATTGACAATTAAAAATACTAAATATTATAAATATATTCCACAAGATAGAGGTTCACAGTAGGAGATTGTTCAAGGTTAAAATGCTCTTGTGCACACAGCTCTAATGGCCCCTGGATTAAAAACAGTTTTTCATAGTGCAGGCTCTCATCGACCTGTAGTGCTTGCCTGAAAGCATTAAACTGAAAAGATGATGAGCTGGGTGAAGAAGTGTCTTAATAACTGTAGATATATCTAATCAACAGTTATTTGTGATTCTAAATTTTGATTTAACTTTGATATTTAATGCCCTTTAACACAACAGCAAAGCAACGAAGCTCATGGCTGCAGCAAGAACATTGAACCTGACAGGAAGCCTGTGCAGAAACTTTGACAACGAGTTTGTATGAGAAGATCCGTGAGGGC